TTTAATGGTTGTCGACTATCTATGTCGGTGGCACAGCGGATAGGACTCTCGCCGACCATGCACATGGTCCGAGGTTCGATCCCCTGCCGACACACACCTGATATCTATAGTCGGCCTGCAAAATTTGGGCTACCGATATCCATGCTGAAAATTTCACACTTGTACCAAAAATACAGTGTGGAATCAAGCTGTAATCAAAAATAATAATAAAAAAATAATGTCGAAGATGAGTCAAATTTCACATTCTACTTCTTAGATATTACTGCAGATGAAAGAGAGGATGGCACATTGAAAACATCTATCTACCTAAAGGCAACCTCTACAGGGTGGTATACTAACTTCGGTAGTTGGGTACCTCTAGGTAGAAAGATAAATCTTATCTATTCTCAATGATCCAGGATTCGGAAAGATTGCTCTATAGATACGGTCGATAAAGAACTGGAAAATCTTAAGTAATTGATACTATAAAAGGTTTTTGAAAGAAGCATGAAGTAATACATTTCTTGTAATCAAATCATATAGCCAAAGATGACATTAATTATGAGCTTGGGATTCAAAGGTGACACAGCTGCTGAAGTGACCAAAAGTCATCCATCCAGGAGTACTGAATGCTTTTTTATGCTTCTGACTTAGTACTCTCCAGCCGTAGTACATTTCGACAACGAGTCAAGCATAAACTACCGATTATGTCCACCTCCATGTGCATCTACTGTTTCACACATTCATGTGGAGTTGGTTACAATGGAGGTTGAAAGTGTGTTCTCCGGAAAACGCGTAGATGAACACTACCTTGTTTCGTTGATGAAAAGTGTGCATAGGATGACGAAGTTTCCATTTACAAACACCTTATTGAATCAAGTCATTCAGTTTCAAGCGATTCATCCTTTAAAGTTATGGACAATGCCAAATTCAGCTAATCTAAAAGCTTATGTTTTCTCCAATTACGTATAGACGAATTCCTAGTTATGCATGGACAAAAACCTAAACTCTATATTTTCAAAAATGATCCTTGTTAAACCCCTTTTTTCATCTTGGTTGTAATGTTCTTTTTTTTAGTTTATTCTACTTTACCACTTATATTCATTTTTGACAGAATAATTTTATACACTTAATATTGCCTTTATCCGTATTCTTGACCTGAAAAATTTCTCGTTTGACCCATACTCAACTGATTTGTTTAACCCTTATATAACGTCTATTGCCAATTTTACATCATTGGTAGATTTCTAACTTCCGTTCTTAATCCTAGAGTATATATATATATATATATATATATATATATATATATATATATATATATATATATATATATATATATATATATAAGGCTACTAACACCTTTTATCGCATCCATCCTACGTGATATTAAAGACCCACATCACTATGCCAATTAATTAGAGTATGTGAACATTTTGTAAACTGATATTAAAATAAATTAAATTTGTATGCAGTTGATGAGAACGGCTAAATTATAATGATATTATATTCCATGTTAGATAAGTTTATTTGATATAATAACACACAGCGGAGATACAGTATTTATTATTATTCTTTAAATTTTTGATTACAGCTTGATTCCACACTGTATTTTTGGTACAAGTGTGAAATTTTCAGCATGGATATCGGTAGCCCAAATTTTGCAGGCCGACTATAGATATCAGGTGTGTGTCGGCAGGGGATCGAACCTCGGACCATGTGCATGGTCGGCGAGGGTTCTAAACACTGTGCCACCGATGCACACTAGATAGTGTTTTAAGTACAATTAATTTCTGCTCAAAATCATATCACAATGAAATGATTCGATGCGTTACGCCTGTTGCAGAGTGACAGTCTTTAGACAAAATGAATAATAATCAGTAGTACAATTTAAGCGGAATATTTTTTCAGCTAAACATCTACTATAATTTTACCTACTGAATTCTTTGTATTATTTTATCTTATTTCTTTTTCATTTCGAGTGGAACATAGGGCTTCAAGTTTTCAGTAGCAGTGGTGTTTATTTTGTATAGGGTAGGATTGCCAGACTCACTCACAACAAGTTTATTCTCTTTACCGGGATTACTACCGGCTAAGTGAGGTTAAGTAGTGCACCATTCAGGGATCGAAACCCGGATCACGCACATATGTGGCGAATATTCCACCACTGAACTACAGACGCGAGAAATCAGGGAGTACTGGACAGCTGTTTCGTTATTGTTAGGGACAATCGAACAGTACGCACCTACAAAACCTCCGGGGATCAAACCTAGGACCTTCAGATTACAAGGCGAACCAGTTTACGACTCAGCCATTGAGACGTACCTTGTTTTAGAAAGCTTAAATACTCAGAAATTTCCGTTTCTGTTTATCTTCATAGACAAGAGTACTAACGACGTGTGTCTATGATAAGAAACCAAGTATAAGGAAATACGTACATGAGGTAGTCGATGACGGACTGACTAACTGTGCCAGTGAGAACAACCTGGCACACTTTTGTATTTGTCAACCTTAACGGCGCTTGAAACAATACAGACAGTGTGAGAGTAAATGCATAGGTCCAAAAAGAAGGTGGGTGTTACTCAGACAATCAAGACACACATTCCAGACAAAATCTGAAGACAAGCTCAGCTATAACATTACATGCAGTCAAACATACATATAGAACTACTCAATAGGACTAAAGTACCAACGTCTGACTTAACAGATCGGAAGAGGAGATTGATAACAGAAACTTTGAGATTACATGTTCGAAAAAATGATACAACTCTGGGATAATTCTTCTACCACTACAACAAACAGTCTGCCTAGAACACCCAGCTATCAAATTTCCCTTTCATCAAAATTTATCTTCGTTTGCTTTATTTCATTTTGTTTTAATTACCCTATTACATTCAAAGGATTGCAGTGTGTACTCACGCCTATTTTTAAATAATTTTCATCTTACTATTATGAATTTTTTGAAGGGAAGTGAAGAAAAACATCACAAGTTATTAGGGCGTGTTCTGGATAAAACAGTAATACTTCGAATGATAATGTTAATAATTATTAATTCACTTGAAGATTCTATACAAGCAGTGATGTTATGTATTTTTTTGTTTCCGATTTCAGAGGATTTTCTCCTAACAGAACTAAGAAGCTGTTCCCTAAAAGATATCATAAACGAGTCAGGCTTCTATTGTCACTATATGAATGACAAATTTACAGTCCTAAGGTGCGTGAATAGGTTCTTTATAACATTGGGAAATTTAATAAAACACAATCGACTTTAGTTGTCACTAGAAAAAGAATGATTTGTCCCATTTTTGGAGATCATGATGATGAGGAAAGTAAATGGAGTAAGAGTATAGATGGGAAACTTACATCAACTGATCAGTATACTCACACATTTCTGGGTTTCACCCTCTTTGAGGTACAGACAGAATTTGTTGAAGTTATTAGTTCATCAGAAAGCAGTTACTTTTTCAGGAGATACTTTTTAACGAGAAGCTCTACAGTAAGTAAGTACTTGTGATCTACTTTGTACAAACAGATATGCAACAAACTCCCAAACTACAAATTCAATGGTTTTCAAAGAAGAGAAAACAATCTATTTGAGATTGGACCTTTTGGACGCTGTTATCAGTGTAGCTGTATCCAGACGACTGAAAATATCCTTTAGAAGAACTTTTATTGCCAATAGCTTATACTATTTGTTGCCTCAAAGTTGACCAATATTCAGTTTAGAGCACAAAAGCATTGAACGATAAAAATATTTATATGGTAATTTTAATATATTACAGAAATCTAGTGGTAAAGTACCCACGCAATTTAGTAGTGTCTGGTTCATAGAACTAGAGTGATCAGCTCGAGTGACTATCTTAATGAGAAGTTGAAGACTACTAGAGAACTACTTAGTAAAAATTGGTTATCTAGAAAAGTTCCTTGATAAAAATATGGATTTGCCACCTTTGCAAGTTAGTGTGGTAACAGCTCCAAAGAAGTCCTTGTTCTTAAAATTGAAGTTTCTTAGTGATAAGATTAGTGAAATAATAACAGGACGCCTAAAGAATGCAGTAAAAATAGAATTCAATACAGCAGCGGTACACTCTATCTCCAGAATCACTCCAACTTTCTTCATTAGAGAAATAAGGATAGACTATTTAATTCCTCCTCTATGTGAACCCAACAGTCTGACTGCTCCTATGGAGGTAGGTTCGACATTGTTCATTGTCGGGTTTTAAAAAATCACCCTAAATGTTTAAGCAAGGCACAAACGAGATCTATTCGTATCTCTGTTTTAGTATATCTTTTAGATATTAAACGTAGAATTTAGGTTAACAGGATATTTAAAGTTATCTATCGTATTCCGACTAATCTTAGTTCGGCTTTGTGAATTCGTCTTTTACATTCAGCTGAAGCTACGGAAATTTGACTGAAGAAGCTGAATCTCTGTGTTCAGAAGAAATTTTCAATTTAATATAAATGACTTTTACTGAATGACATTACATCCAGTCAGTCAATAAAAAAAACACATAATATAAAATATGAGCTAGTGAAACACGAAATAAGGGTAGGTTAGACGTGGGTCATGAGAATCAGCTCAATTTTTACAGAGACTTTAAAATACAGAGAAATATTTGAGCGAACTAGGAAACTGATCACAGCAGCAATACATTGAATACTGTCACAGATTCCAAAATATACCCACCACTGCATATTCCACGTTTAAAACTGAAATAAATTTTAGCAAAATAAGCGTCAGTGGTTCAGCAATAGGACGCTCGCCAACCATATGTGTGGTCCGGGGGATCGACGCACTCTTAAACCTCGCTAAGCCAGTGGTAAGGCTGATAAAGAGGGAAGGTTGGACGTGAGACTAGCGACCCAACGCCGTAAAAATAAAAACCACTGCAACCGAAATTTTAAAGCCCTACCTTGAAGTACCATTTTCCACCCGGAACGTAAAACAATACAATGTATGAAAAAAAGTCAATAAATGCAAAAGTAAAATCCTCTTAAATAACCACAACAAAACAGCTTACCATTTGTGTAACCATGAATGCATGTTTAAAATTATGAAATGGTACATTGTTATATCGTGAATAGACTGCAAACAACCAGTTCTCCAGTACATCAATAGAAAAATGACATAATTCCGGGAGATTTAAATCCAAAAACATAAATTTAACAAAACTGATTAACTCAGCATCTGTATATAACCAATTGTTGAAGGAATGAGATTTTAACTGATCCTTCACTGATGGAGATACTGGCAGGGAACTATAAGACGTAATGGGGAAAAAGATAAAATAATGATACATATTTGTAGCGTAAATTAAACTGACACATTTATATGCGTATTTTGGTTGGCTTAATCTTTTACTTCAGAAAAAGTCGACATCAATGGTTCAATTGTCCAGTTTCCATTCTAAGATGACACACTTCTAAACCTCGCCTAGCTAGTAGCAACCCTGGAAAAGTGAGATTTTTGAGGATGAGGCTAGCAATCGCACACTGTACAAACAACGCCGCCACTACTAAGACTTCAAAGCTTGAAGCTCTGTATTCCACTTGAAACGCAAAGAATGAAGACAAAACACTTGCGGAAAATTCAGACACCTCAAACCTTGTTTATAAGAATTTAAAGTGTATGTTGAACGCTTCCTCAAATCGAAATGGGTGTAAGGGATCTAGACTTATGGTTAGACTGTTGGTGATGAAATACATGACTTGATTAGATCTTGGTAGTCGAATAGTAAAATTATACGAATAAAATGCATCACCTGTAAATTACAGATTTTCATTAAGAAATCCGAAATATTCACATCATAATATTCGACCTGCTTGGTACCATAAATGATCGTCAAGAAAGCATGTAAAATAAAAACGTATATACTTATGATTGATATGAGTCAATTGTTAGACGGATAAAAGTGATCTAAATATATACGGAAGGTTATTTCAGCTTTCTAAGCTGAGTTCACATTCTTACACCCCTGATAAGCTCAGTCTCAAATTGATGAAATGGCCGTTTGGGTTTTGCATCACTTGAATTTGATATTAGTGAAGATTACTACTTATTACATTAACTTGAATAGTTTTTAACTACTTATATCAACCAGTAGTATATACTATCCTGCTATTTAGAAATTGACGAAATCTTCACAGCAAAGTACATTAACGGATGAATGGAAAACTTTATAGACATTAAAACATTGCAGATTACCGAACCGCGATATTCAATGAACTGTTCTTGAATTATCAGTCTGCATGTAGTAGTCAAGGTAGCATGAATGATCAAGAAAACAGCTTTGTACCTCAAAAGGAAATTAATAAATACTTTGTAATATCACAGTAATTTATCATTTTGCACTACTACTAACAGTAAGGCTAGCATTTCGTTATCTGAATCACAACTGAAGTTTAACAAAATAACTTAGTACAAAAGCCTAAGCAACAAGGATGTTGACTAAATCGCATACGTGAGATAGTTTCAGATACCATCCACTTGATTTTACAAAAATATCGACTAGAAAGTTCAAAATAACAAGGCGATCTATTGATTTGTAGTTAGAGGACTGAATCAACGAGGTATATATCTTCAAGATGTGTACTGTAAAAAACTGACATACTAACAACCTTGGCGGCCTGCTTAAACCTTGGGCTATCAAAATTTTCTGTCACTTATATTGCATTTGATTATTTGGATTTATTTTGTTTTAATTATTCACTTATGTGTTTAAATCGTATTACTTACTCTCGCGATCATTTAAAATGCTTTCAACCTGATGATTTACGAGTACCTAATAACCTTAAGAAAAAGCATCATGGTGGGTGGCAAAGATCCTTAGTCACTATACCGTATTTGGCACGTACTTTATGTGATGAAAATCCTCTCAATTTTTGTTTTTATTTATTTTTCATAGGTGTGAACATCACTTAAGCTGTTACCACTGTTGATCCTGTATTTCCCCTCATTATACTATATCAACAGAACATTGGATTCAATACTCTATAATAACATGCTAAAATTTCCAAACTGAATCGACAATAGTGTTTGAAACAAACTCACTGTTGTTATTATTATTATATTTAATGATCTCAATTTATGCTTCGAATATTTTTGACTTTATATCGTAAACGTGGACAAATTCGTCTGGCTACTTTGGTTTTAATTTTTAATTTTATTTATATTTTAAGTAAATCAGATGCAATATTGTGACAAATGCTGAGAATTCTATTCTGTATTATAAGTACTGTTTTTGGGATAAAGTAAATTATTATTATTATTATTAAACTTCAAGTCTGTAACTGTGATGTAATACCTACAGAAGAGGTAGATAGGTAAATATCAGAAAAATTCTCCAGTCGTAGATATTTATGAATAGTGATTATTAATTAGAATAGGCTACATCAGTGGAGTACCTCATTCTGACATTTCTATATGAACGAGGTAATCAGCGTAAATTGGCACATGATTACATTAAATAATGGTCAAACCCAAGTGGATATTTTTTATTTTTTATTACAGCTTGATTCCACACCGTATTTTTGGTACTAGTATGGAATTTTCAACATGGATATCGGTAGCCTAAATTTTTTCAGGCCGACCATAGATGTCGGGTGTGCGTCGGCAGGGGATCGAACCCCAGACCATGTGCATGGTCGGCGAGGGTCCTAACCACTGTGCCACCGACGCACAAATACAAATTCTCATTACACTACTTAAAGGCTAATCGACAGAAGAAAAGAACAAATAAATTAAAGCTTATGATCTAACTGGAAACCAATCAAATCCCTGAACAAACACTAATACTTGAAAATTTGTAATACAATTAAATTAATATTTTGGAAAGAGAAAATATAGAAAATCAATCAATCAGTCAATCAATCAATCAAAATTTAATAAAAATATAAATGACTCACCGAATAGCTAGGAATTGATTTCTCACTTTCGTGAAATGTACAAATGGTACTTTAATATGTTCTGGTTCAGGACAATAAGGTTTACCAGAAACATTCCAAGAAGTATCATTAACATGCTGAGAATTAGATGTATGCACTACTTCACCACAATTTTCTATCTTACAGGAATTATCAATTTCATGAGTTTCTATATTTTTATTAGCTTGATTATCATGTGAATTTGAAATCTTTGAAGAGATAGTAGAAAATAACCAAGCAGTACACTTTGTTGGCAGATGAGTTTTATTGCTTGTGCTATCTCTTCCAGGCGGTGCACGAGATGACTTCAAATGACAACGACCTAGTCGCTTAAACATCTGTTAAAATTACAATTCAGACAAAAAATAATACCAAATACAAGTATATGATTCCAAGTGAAATTGTATACTGGAACTGAAAAACAAAACGGTAGGCCCGGTATATATATATATATATATATATATATATATATATATATATATATATATATATATAGACATCAATCAGTACACTAAAAAATTTCACACGATTACACAGATCGCTTAGAAGTTGATAAACATATACCAGTAACCTTATTTCACATTCATTGAAATATATTACGGCCAATAAGATGAGTGACACAATCCACTGATATACTATACTTAGTATTAGATGTGTTGCAGGTGATTCGATTGCGTGGAAAATCACTTATAGTCTCTAAAATATGATAAACAAGTGACTAGACACTTTTGTGTGTTGGTTTAAACTCAGCTATCCAGAACATATATTTCGGGTGGTAGGCTATGAACCACACTTATTGTGTGAGGACTGATGATACTACTCAGTTGTCCCGGGCTCGAACCCGGGACTTATTGACTGTAAGGATAGTTCTTAGACCAATGAGCAACATCTCTACTTTTAAATGCTTAATTATTGTATAAACAATCAACAATGTTAACGAACAACCTAATCTCTGTAGGTGCAATAGTATCCGTGTCAAACGAACTTTACACTGTCAGAATGCAGAGTTATACTGTATGACTGAAAGGAGTCTGTGATTGCAGCGATTAACTCAGCAAGCGAACTACTAAAAAGAGATGAAAAATTCGTGTGTTTAGATAGCCCATGCGAGTAATTTCAGTGTGATGACATTTTGAAATGTAGACTACAACTTTTCAAATGTTTGAACTTAATTAACTGAGCATCAAAAGAATCTTTTGCTTTTAAGAGTGATAACATGATGATAGGTTAGTGTACTTCGAGGTTTATATTACACCTGTACGGTTGAACAAATTAAAGAGAAACTAGAAACTCTGTGAAAATTAAACTACCCTCTTTTATTTTAAACTGTCTGACATAATTTAGATTGAAATGAAAGTGATTCACAGCAAAACTCGAGAGAAGTGGTCACTGAGTTACTAACTCGGTGCTCTGCTAACTGCACAGAAGATAGTCCATAAGTGATGCAACTTGACAAAAGTCATCAATTTTTTTTCAGTCGTCAATCCACTATGACTATCGCTACTCCAAACAGGATGGTTGGTGTACGCAAACACTTCTTTGTTGATAATTGAATGAAATAAAGGTAATGATCAATTTAACACTATACAACAAGATACAGTTAGATGAGAATTACACTTCAGACACTGTCAGATTATCATCTCAAGTATTCAGAAAATTCTGCATCCTCAACAAGACTTTCGCAGATTATATAGAAAATATAGTACTAAAGGTTCATAGAAGTTAAGTGAGATGTGCAAATAATACATCTATTAAAGAACATGAGGAGTTGAAATCCTTAGTGGATACAGTTTGCCATGGATATCTCGCAAAATAGCTCGACATAGGCACCAACGTAACTATCAGTTTCTAAGACAGTCTTTGATAAGATGTACTTTACAGGAATCTGTACTCCAAGAACATTGCCCAAGAAATGATGAATGACAAAGTTGAGTTAAGAAGTACGACTAATATATGACAATGATACGAGTACCAGTATTGAAAAGTCCAACAGAAAATGAATATCTCATTGGAACATTTCTCTCGCTTGTTTCTCCTTAACAGCAGTTACGAGTCGAGTAATCATGGACCATGGAGTTTCGAAGGCTATGTTCGCTAGCCTAATTTTTCCGGGGTTAACATAAGGTAGATAGCGTATTTTACTACATCTCACACCTGCAGATGATTAACAGAGGTAGGAAGAGAGGAGACAAAATAAAAATGATATGATGGATAGCCGCAAAAATTCATAAACTCGAATATATGCAGCAAATAACGGGACAGGATATTATGGCTGTAATGAAAACAAAGTGAAAAACCTCCTCCTGTATCAATTTTGGATTGCATTAAAACAAATATCACCTACATGTAAGCATTTTCATACACTACCTAGATGATCATCCAATATTTTATGGGTTGGAGGAATATATTGATCTAGTCAGTTAAAACTTCCTTGTAATCTGATGTTACATTGCATGTGGAAGATCCAGAGTAAGCTTGAGCAACACCTGTCTCAACCACATCAACAAATGACGCTTCATAACATTATCATTAGACTTCTAAATGTGGCGACTTGGTTTGGTACAGTTTTGTATACGGCTCTGCTTCGAATTTTGTCAGTCGACTGATTTCCCTTACTGAGATTATGCATCACATAGTAACTGAAGTGGCGTACTTAAACAATAGAGTCCCAGGGATGCGAACGATCCAGTAACCTTGAACACATGCTAATCGTTGACTGACAATATCTGTCATTATTAATAATGAGCTATAATTAAAGCGTATCGAAGGCATAGTGGTAGGATGCTCGTCAAACACACAAGTGGTTCGGGGTTCGATGCCCGGTCGACGCACTTTACCTCGCCAAGACAGTAATAAGACTGATAAAGAGGGAAGGCTGGGTTTGAGGCTGGAAACCCCATCCCATAAAAATAAATACCACTGCTACTGAAACTTCAGGCCTCTAGCTTGAAACCCTGTTTCTTTGGGAACGTAAACGTTCCCAAAGAAGGAATAAAAAAAATAATCAAAGCTCAAATATGAATCTTATACACCAACTTAGGGGCAAATTTCACTCAGGTGACGTTTTTAAGTACTGTTCCAACTGTTTAGAGAGGAATGCTACACAATATGTAGCCGCTTATGTGCAGAAGTTGGCTTAATCTCTATTTCTCCAAGATAGTAATCATACATACTAAATAATAGACTGTGTAATAACCAGTGATTTATGGTATAACCTTGATTGCCACACAGACTTTGTGATTGCAATTTAATTTCAATTCAAATTGAAAATTCTATCAGGTCTGTTTATTTCATATCTTGTATCTCAGGATGAAAATAGTCTTCTAGGGAACAGAATACATAGTTATTTTACTGCGGCGATAACAAAAGGCAAAAAATATTTTGATTATTATGATTTTTGGAAGCACAATAAAATTTTTTGAAAATTCATTAACTAGGTTTACATTTATGATAACACTTACCACTTCTGACCGCTACTCAACCACCAACATAAACAATAATATTCCTGAGATGTAGACTAAATTGTCATAACACTAAACATTTGACAGGACTAAATCACCCAGAGGTCTTACACCAGAGTTAATGTGAAGACCCGACCTTCAACAAACGACTTTAATAACAGGCGCCTTCCGACAAGGTCTTAGAGTACATGTAATTATCACGCATATAAAATATAGGTTCGAATGATATTACTGCGCGACCGGGGGCTTTACAGGTTGAATTTCGTTATAATACTATCTGAAACATCGTAAACAATATTATTATTCAAATGCAAATTTTGTAGCAGAAGTTTTCTCTCTTCCACAGAAAAATTACCGGTACTATCAGACAGTTATACTTTTCCTTCAGTCAGATGGTTTAACCAGTTTTGACTTTTTCTGCCCCATAGGTTTCTTTATCAAAGTGAGTTACGGTAAAGTGTTTCGCAATCTATGTAGCGCTATTATGTAGTATCACAACTGTAAATTCAATCTACCTCAGCATTTCCAACACCTGGTTCGAAATGAATAAGATAACAGTGACATAATTCTTAATACTATCTATGTAGCTGGGACACTCAAAACACTTAGTTTGATACATGAGGCCAACAGAAGTTATTTTGAGAACAGGAGATGATTTGTAATGGTTACCTATTGAGTTCGTATTAACGGGTCTCTTTGATTCCGGAAATTCAATATTAACTGCGACAGATTAGCCACTCGGTTGTCCCGTATTACTCCCAGCCTCTAACCTGGTGTCACGAGGCCACTGATGAGGGGAAATATGGGATGGATTTGTATTTCTGAAACCACAATATGAAAAATCAAATGTGTTAAATTCCAAAAGGTGAATTTTGTTTATCACGGAGGTGTGTATGGTATTCTAGTAGGAATCAAAATTACTTCAAAAATTTTTGAGAACTTCGTGGAATTTCTGTTGTTGTTATATGAATCCTTTCCATTTTTCACTTAGCGGATACACAATCTAATCTTGCAGCTAGTTCCCTTTATAATATCTAATCTTCACTGTTACTATTATGGCTCCATCAGCTTGATACTTAGCGTGACATACCACTCAGAATTTTTGAAACGCATTGCCTAACCTAAATGCGCCTTGTAGATTCTTAATAGTGATGGCATTCATTCACCTTAAGGCAAGGATGGGCAGTTCAGCTCAATGAACATCAGTGTAACTCGCTACACTGTACTGTCACTTGTTATAACCCCTGTTCGTTTTACTTTCGTTCCATCGTACGCTGTTCGTTAGAAGACGGAGAAATACTATCAGAAGCATCATTGTGATTAACTGTTATGACATTTGTTCCCGGACTTTATGTATAATGACCTTATGGTTTGTTCCGTATTGGTGCAAGAATAAAAGGATTCTCGGGTTACCAATCTGTGTTCTACTTTTTTGCGTTGGTTATCGCACATTGTTGCTGAAGGTCTTCTAAGGTCCGCGTTAAGTTCAACATAGTCAGACCTGGGCATTGACACTATACTTCGAAGCCATCGATGAGTTATTGATTCACTGGTGTAGGTGGTCGAGCTGAGGACTGTGATGTGAGGTCAAGCAAAGGCATTGTATGACTGTGTGGAACGGTCAGGTGGGACGGAGACCTGAAAGCTGTCGGTTGAACGATTGGTTGCAGAGTTCGACAGTCCGACAGATGGGACAGCGTTCATCTTGGGGCAGAAGCAGTAGTGGGGCCTAAACGCATACCATTTGGACTAGCACGTGCACCGTTCACCTCCAAGCTCCTGATGACGATGTTACCTAGAACCTTGAAGGAGGTAGAAGTGCACAGTGATGGTCTGGTCATCTGCAATCAAAATTAAAGCGACCATGTGAACCATGTCAAAGCCGTGCAAAAGCTCAGTGAAGAGTTTTGACCGCGCATCGAAAAAGAACAAAGTCTTAAATAGCCAAAAGGAGTGTCACGCTGTTGGATCATAAAATAGACAAAGGTGGGACCAGGCCGCTTCTGGAGAGAATCGATAAGGACCATTACTACCCCTTATTCAAAGAGGAAGCTAAGGCAGTCCCCGGGAAGAGCGACGTTTTATAGTCGATTCGTTAAAAACTTCAACTAGATAGCAGCGCCCCTGTGTATGTGATTAGATAAGTCGAAGTTTGTTTAGTCGAAGACTCGCGGAAGATACTCGAAGCACCAAACGACTTCTAGGCCATCGGAAATTGATGCTGAAACTGCCAGTTCACAGGTGCCGGTGATCGCGATATAGGCGCAAACTCAGATCGGGTGAAGTTGTCGAACATGCCACTTGTGTTTTAACAAATGCAGAACAGAAGTATTCAACGATAGAAGAATGTTTAACAATAGTATGGGTGGTAGACAAATGGAGAACGTATATACTTGGCCAACGGTTCCACACTGAAACCCATCACAAGCCGCGACAGTTTCTGAGGACAGCGAGAGACCCTCACGGGAAGTCGCCACGGTGGATGTCGCACTTGCTGCAGTATGACTTCATAATTCCACACGTTACGGCAAAGAAATGGTTTCGGCAGCCTTTTTATCTGGGGGCTTGAAGACGAAGCTGAGTCATCGGAGGTTGTTTATGGAGTGCATGGATTCGAGCAAAACGCATTAAGACTTGCCCGCAGTTAGAAATCAGACCCTAACCTGAATACAGTAATACAAATGACCACTAACGGAAAAGAAGTGAATCAGCCTGCGACTAGTAAGGAGCTGACTGAGCTACCCAGGTAGAAAGGTCAATTAAGAGTGATTGCTTGCGTAACTCTGACCTGGCGAGAGAACAATAGAATTTGGTTGGTGGTAATACCTCAGTCCCTACGCCATGAGGTGATACGAGAATCGGCCTGAAATACCGACCTCTCGAAACAAAGCATGCATTAGCCGGGTCTGAGAGAAGATGTGATGAAATGTGTACTTGGATGTCCGAAGTGCCAGTTAATGAAACGAGATCGGTGCGCATGACCGCCTCCGCGGTCAATTCAGTTGCAAAGTAGGTCACTAGTGGACCGTAGATATGATGGGTCTATTTTCTCATACATTCATTGGCAATCAGTACCAATACTTGATGACGGAAGGCGCTATCAGATGTTAGGAAACTGTCAGGGTAGTTGAAGAATGAACGATCAATTCATGGTTGTTTGCTCAAAACCAACTTCCCCAATTTTCGTGGGGGCATCAATACACCAGTCACCGTCTCATCGGTCGCTGTTCAGAAAGAAGTCAGACCAAAACCGTCAGAAGTAATATTGTGATTTATTATTGTAATATTTGTTCATAGACCTTAGTTGTAAAGCTTAGTTTTACATTGGCTATATGTTGGTGTTACAATAAAGAATTCTCGAGTAAACAATCGGTGTTTTGGTTTTGCGTCCGTTTGTACTAAGCGTTTCTGAGAAGCTTCGAGGAATAGCGTGAGTCCCAGCGTAGCAAGAGCTGAGCATTAACGGTTTACGAGGCGTGGCTGACAGTTTCTGACGGTACGGCGTCAGTTTTTGACGGTTTCGAACAGTTGGTGACAGTTTGGATAGTCACTGTTCATCTTTCCTGGTGCCGGCCAAGTCCTCTTTGAACAAGCAATATCTGAAACTATTTTGAAATCGGGTCAAGCTCAACAATGCCTGGGTCAAAGAAGGGACAGAGCATCTTGGATGCAAACAGGAAAGTAAGTCATGGTGACTTGTCTGTTAATTGTAACGATGTGTCTGATGTTAAGCATGACATGGTTGATGTTACTTTTTCGCCGTTCAGGGATAATAGGAACATCAAACTCCCTAAATTTGAACCACAGTGTTTCGATGGAAACCCGACTGATTATTTACAATTTGTAAAGGAGTTTGAGATCATGCTGAGTAGTTTTCTATTAAGTGATGAATTGAAATTGATGTATTTGATGAGGTATTGCACTGGAGATGCTTCAAGAGCTATAGAGTGCTGTAAGCTCATGCCCCCTAATGAGGGATACGCTGAGGCTATGAGCATATTACGTCAAAGGTTTGGAAGACCTTCAATGATTATAAGGAACGTATTCGAAGCTGTCAAAGGTAACGGCAGTCAACTTCAAGATGACTCCAAGGCACTTACTGAGTTTATGGATAATTTGTTGATTTACAAGAATGCATTGATTTCGATGAATTGCATGAGTGACCTCAACTCGAGCTCAGTCCTAGAGGTAATTGCAAGACGCCTACCTACTCGACTGCAAAGGAAGTGGGTGAAGATAAGCTCCCGTATGGAGGATGAGGGTATCGAGCCATAATTTGATGATATCCTGAAACTAGTAAAAGATAGTGTCAATCAATCTATGAGCAAGTTTGCCAGTATATTGAATCTCACCCCTAGAATAGAGCAGTCTGAGTGTAAAACGCAATCAATGATGAGGAAAGGGCCTCAGAGAGATGGATATCGAAAAGGCTCCATGATGTCTAGTAATGCATATAGACCTAGTGAGTGTAACAGGTTTCGTAGTACATCCTCAACAGATAAGTTAAAAATGCAAGACAAGCACGGTTGTGTTTTACACGTTTGCAAGAGGTGCATACAAAGGTGAACTGTGAACGAGTGAGCAAGTTCAGTGATAAGCTAAATGTAAACCCCAGGCCTTACTCCGAATTGTGTGACGATAACGGTAATAATATATTTCTTCCTATTTATGCAGGAACATACCAATTGTACAGGCATGGATAAGTTATTATATAAATTACACAAATTGATGTATGATGAATTTACAGTTTGGTTGTTCTTTCTGACATTAGAGTCAGACGGAACAGTCTGCTATAAAGTCTGTTTGTGTAGCACATAAAGAGATATAGAGATATTGTCTTCGCATTAAAAAAAACCCAGACATCAGATGAATGTAATACGGATATCTGGGAAAAAAAGCTTGAAGTCAATCCTCTTACATAACTTTGTTGTGAACAGCACCCTCGGCTCAAAGTTTATTGATGTATTATGTTGAGATCAGTGATATATTTATTCCATTTTTTCAGTAGTCTTATCGTAGTTTTATAACAGGAAAGAAATTTGATCGTGGATGCGAAAACTAGATGAGGTCATGTGAAGTTGTTTTACTGCATCAAATGGTGCTGAGGTCGGTTCCAGAATTCTCCATTTGCTCCATTTGTGTCTGCATGGCGGACTGCATTCGTAAGTTCAGAAAAATGTTGAAAACTGTTTGAAAACCAGTTGCTTCTTCATTTCAGATCATGAATACTCATTTACAGCATGTTCGCCAGCGTCTTCAAATGGTAGAATTGGATCGTTCATGGAATTTGGGT